ATTGTTGAAAGGTTATAACTAAACAGTTACATTGTACGATACCACTAAAGACTAATAAAGATTGTTGAAAGGTTATAACTAAACAGTTACATTGTACGATACCACTAAAGACCAATAAAGATTGTTGAAAGGCTATAACTAAACAGTTACATTGTACGATACCACTAAAGACTAATAAAGGTGGTTATAAGGCTGTAACTGAAAATCTACCTTTTTAGAAAAAGTAAGGGAATTGGAGCACAGTTTTGGCAACCTGTTTGACAAACGAGGAGTGTGACTTTAACAGGACGTGTACGTGTTTCCATAGAAAAATGTTGAAAGTTATATCTTAAAACCCTAAAATAATAAGTCCTTAACTTCTAAATCTAAGAAGATTTCGTTTATATTTTGACAACCAGTTAGAAATGTTTAATTTGTTTAACATAAAAAAATAGCCAGTTTTTCCTTTTTGTTTGTATAGTGTGAAACTACAAGTTATCTTTATATCAAACGGTAGTTTTGTCTGCTTTAATTTCGATCTTCATCTTCTTTTACGGAAAAAAAAAAAATTCCTCCTGAAGCGCCATCTTAAAAAAAAAAGGTTCTAGCACCGCAAACAATTCGCTAAGATTAAAATTTTTCGCTTAATAAACACTAATAGAAATAATTAATTTAACAATTAAATCCATATGTGCTCTGACGTATGAAAAATACTAATGATTAAGATGATTTTCTGAAAGCTTTGTTTTAAATATAATATTATTATTCTGTCAAATGATAAAGTTTATCTTTACCTGCAATGTTTGAACTAATATAAGTATAGAAATTAATCACCATTCATTGAATATTTATTTGCTTGTCAGAAAGGAGAAAAATACACCTTGTGTGTGTTACTTCTACAACACAAAATTTTAGTGATTATATTATTTTCTAAGAATTATACCAGTATGAAAAAAAGCTGCGCTTCGGTCCGTCATTTTTTTAAAATAAACATGGAATGTGTTTGTATTAGTGTAGAACGCCTGAAGGGCTAACCTGAGGTGGATTGGAACAAAAGAACCAATTATGTGTAAGCTAATTGTGCTCGAGATTATTCGCAGAACTTTGTATATATCTTTACTTATGCTCGTTAAGGAATTAAATCAAATTACTTTGAAAATTCTCATTGTCTGTTCTTGTTGTTGTTGTATGTGTTTTTTAAATTACATTACGCTA